TCCTTTTCCTTGTTTATTTTCTTGGATCCCTGAAGGAATCTGTGGGAGGATGTGAAACTGTCAGTAAAGAAAAGGTCGAGATTCTGCTAGGGCCAGTTGTTAAGAGCTGTTTTATACACAGGGAGAAAGAGGTTCAAACATAGGGACATAGCTAGTAAGTGACGGGGCTCTTATTTGAAGGGAATCCTGTCACAAATCTGAAAGTTCACTGGCAGCGCTGCTTCCTAAATGATAATTTCAGTTAGTGTTGTTTATGGAGTAACTTAAATTCTTTATAGATTCAGCTGCTGTTGCAGTATTTGAAGAATGATCCCAGGAAAGCAGTAAAGAGACTTGCTATTCAGGATCTGAAATTACTTGCCAGTAAAACACCGCACACTTGGAGTAGGGAGAATATTCAGGTATGTGGGACTTTGACCATGAATATTTCATATAGAAAAATAATATAACATGAATAATAAATCATAATAAGTTGTTTGGTATCACATTTTTATCTCTTTGTCATCTTCTCAATGGCCAAATACGAAATATGTCTAAAAGCATTGTTAATATTGTGGGAGAAGTTATTTTATCAGTGGCAAAATACATGAACTTGTCTTTCAGTGTTTAAGTTTGTTTTGGTGAATGGTCTTTTCTCAGTTTGTTTATTTTCCTGTAGCTGCACTGATGCTAATTCAAAGCTCAAGTAAGTTAGTCCAGTCTCCTTTAGTCCATTTTAGGGAGAACAGCTTAGATGCTAACTGATTTGGTGTAGAGCAGAGGCTGGGGGAGTAACATGGCAAAGTGTATTTATCCTTTTCATGGATTGAGATGGGGTCTTACTCCATAGCCCAGGTTGGCCTCCTACTAACCATCCTCCTGCCTCAGCCTCCTGAGTGTTGGAGTAACAGACATTAAAAGACATTCTTGAGTTTTCTTTCATAAACACAAAAGCAGATCTCGCTTCAGGCTGTTGAGGACACATCTTTCACAGCTTATATTCCTGTTTTATACTTAATTTTTCTCAGAATAGAACCCTATTTGTTTACCCATTACTGTTAACAGATGAACACTATTTTCTACAATTGATCTTAGGCAAAAGGCTGGGAAGTGTTCTATTTTCTAAATCCTATTTAAAGTGAAAGATTGTTAGAAGTTGACCTTTATTTTTATGGATTTAATTTTTGTCTCTTGGTAGCATCAAGACTGTAACTGTTAAAATCATTGTGGTGGTTCATGCCTATAATACCACTGAGGCTGAGGCAGGAGGCTCACTTGGAGTTTGAGGGCAACCTGGGCTATTTGCTAAGTTTGAAGCCAGCCTGAACTACATAGCACGACCCTGTCTCAAAAAGAAAAACAGAGAAAGGAAAGAAGAGAAGGGAAAGAAGGAAAGGAAGGAAGGAAGGAAGACTTTGAATTTGGGGTTATGAAAATTGAGCAGCTGTGTCTCATTTTTGTTTTGACATATTCTAAATGTGCTTTACTATATTATGATTTGATAGTTAAATATAGGCGATAAGGTTAATATTTGCATTTTAGTGATAAGCAGTTAGGGTTCAGAGGGATTTAATATGTTAAAGAAAGCTTAAGATAACTTAACAAAACATTAATAAAAGAAATTCTGTCCTCCGACCCCTTATCTAGTGATTTTTCTGCTGCTGTCTTTCTGAGAGTGTGCCAGATTACTTTAGTTATTTATAGGGATCTGCACAAAACCCAACTTAGTTATTTAGAAAGATCAATGAGGAGTACTGTTAGTCCTTCTCATTTTTTTCTTTTGAGACAGATTGTATGTACAGAAAAATACAGAGACTCAGCCATGTAGTTGAATTTTCTTCCCCTTGACAGCTTTATCGAATCCCATTATATGAATGTGCCCGTTTTTTTGTTCCTGATGGTTATTTCCAACCTGGCACTGTTGCAAGACAGTGGTGGCGAGCATTCTTTTATTTCTCTCCTGGTGTATATGTGCAGGAATTTCTTCAGAGGGTAGCCTGGGAACGACATTTGTGACTCCTACAGTGTGTGTATTTTCTTTCAGCTTGACCAGATAATGTCCTTTTCAGAGTGAATGAACCAGTTTGCATTCCTGCTGTGTATTAGAGCCCATTGATTTACATCCTTGTTAACATATAGAATTACCAGTGTTTAATTACAGAATTATCAGAATTTTAATTTTTGCCAGTTAAAAAAGTTTATAACTTCTTTATTACTTAAAAATGAGCCTCTATTTACTAGGTTTATTGGCTATTTGGATTCCTTTTTTTGTGACATGGCTATATAAGTCTCTTGCCTATTTTTCTGATGATTTGGAGATCCTCTTTATATATTTTTAGATGAACGTACTTTGGTAGTCCTCCCCAAGACTATTTTTTAAAAAAATGACAATTTGGAATTGCATGGAATGTAAAGATTAGTTTGTCTGAAATTGCTGTTAAGATGATAATAAGCCTTCCAATGCATGGATATATTGTATCTCTCTACTTATCTAGGTCTCTCTAATATATCTCTTGCCTTCAACTATTTTAATGTAGTTATTTTAGCATTCTCCTGGATATATTTTGTTATGACTGTGTGTAGATTTCCCCCCAAAGCCTCATGCCATCTTAGGTGGAGCTTTTCAGAAGTAGCTAGATGTAGAATCTGTGATGTTGGGATCAAGGGTGTGTGATTATTAAATTAGCCCACTGATTGGTTTGGCATAGTTCTAGGTAGGATTAAGGGTACCTCATTCTGGGTTTGAGTGCTACCTGCTTTTAAGTCCCTGGATAAAATATAAGGGACAGAAAGAGTGTCATTATTTTCCACTTGCTCACTGCTTGCTGCCTTCTGCCTGCCACAAACTTTGACCTCTGTGATGCCCCTCTGCCATGTCACCCTGCCTTGAGCCAGCAGCTATGAACTGAAACCTCTACAAACTGTGAGCCAAATAAACATTTCCTCCTCTGACTTTGGGGTCAGTGTTTTATCTTAGCAATGAGAAAAAGTAACTAAGACATATTTACATGGCAGATTGTCATAGTTTTACTTTGACTTCATGTATTTTTATATTTCTGCTATTTTTTTGTTTTGTTTTGGTTTTGGTTTGGGGGTTGTTTTTGTTTTTGTGGGGTTTGTTGTTGTTGTTGTTGTTGTTGTTGTTTTGGTTTTTGAGACTGACCTGGAACTCACTTATGTAGCCCAGGCTTGTTTTGAACTCACAGTGATCCTCCTGCCTCAGCCTCCCGAATACTGGGATTACAGGTGTGTGCTACCACGCCCGGCTTGCTATTTCTTATAATAGCATTTTATTGAATTAATTCTTCCTACCTAACTTTGTTATTTTCTAGTGGAGGCTTTGATTGATATATTACAGATACGAGTTAAAATCTGCTGTCATATTTTGTGCTTTGTGTATCTCTTCCATTCTTTACCCCTCTTTTGAGAGGGCTGCTTTCTGGACTGTTTTTATTATCTTACCATGTCAAGCTGCTTTTCAAAGTAAATGAACCTGCTGTGTATTAAGAGCTTTTTGATCTACATCCCTGCCAACATATAGAGTTACCAGTTTTTGATTATAGAGTTATCAGAATTTTTAATTTTTGCCAGTTTACAAATAGTTTATAATATAAACTAATTATGTTTATAAGTATTCTTACTTTGAATAATTTGGGAGTTTATAGTCTTTTTATATTTTAGTTGTTATCCTGGAAATGTTATCCCATGCATAGTTATGTTATGGAAGGAATCGGTAAGTGACACCGAGAGGCGACAGAATGGAAGTAAAATAACAAAAAGTTTTATTTGTCTACAAAGGTCGAGCACACATAAAATCAACCCCTGGATCGACAGTGCACTGGGTTACAACTCCTCCTTTTATAGGGTTTTATAGCCTTGACTTCATTTGGGTGGTTACATTTCATTCTCATAGTGTACACTGCTGATGTAGGAATCATGCTCACAAGACAGTTAAATTTCAACCCACATGTAATTAGAGGAGTTTACCTTTGCCAAGTTATCTATCATAGCCCATGGGAAGGGGGCATAGTTCACACTGCTGATGTAGGAATCATGCTCACAAGACAGTTAAATTTCAACCCACATGTAATTAGAGGAGTTTACCTTTGCCAAGTTATCTATCATAGCCCATGGGAAGGGGGCTGTTCAGGGTCAGGGGCGCAAATGTTAGCACTGGTCCTTTTCATCTTGACACTTTTATGATCATGTGGTTCCAGTCTCTTCTGAGCTCAAGGTTGTGATGTGCCCTGATATCTCAGGGTAAGACCAGATGTCTCATTCAGTAATTAATGCCTTCAATGTCTGTTAGTTCTGAACTAAACCAAACAAACTGCTGTTAGAGACAGCAGAAGCCATTCTATATTGTAACACTTTATAGGTTTTTGCTGTTTTTTTTTTTTCTCATTGTGTTTATTGGTACGTTTCAGATATACAGTATAGTTACATTCATTATTGGGATCTTGTACCTTTACATGACAGGTCTTGGAGGTTTTTGCTGTTTATAAAAGTTTTCCCCACCAGTTATTGTGAGGTCTATAAATAATTTTGCTACAAAGACCTTAGGACACGTTTTAACTCCATTTATATCTATATTAGTCCATTTTCTGTTGCTTCATAGTGCATAACACAGACTGGGTAAGTCCTAACAAAAGAAGTGTGGTATATTTCGGCTCCAGGGTTCTGGAGGCTTGAGGTCAGAGGTCTGCAGTGGCTGCCTCACAGACACCACAGGGTGTCATGTGGTAGGAGTCAGGGAGTGCACAAAAATGTGTGTCTCTTCTGCTCCCTCCTCTCCTAAAGCCACCAGGATCCCTCTTAGAGGCACCACCCAGTAGCCTCAGCTAATCCTAATCATTCCCAAAGGCTCAGCCTCTAAACACTTTAGTTGGATTAAGCTTCCACCCTCTTGATACCTCACAATGTTGATTAAATTTCCATACATGAAACCAAGGGGAACACATTCAAACTGTTTCTAAACCATAGCAGATCCCTCTAAACTTGTATGTATTGACCTCATGGGATTTAATTGTGTCATTTGTTATCATACAGTTTTGTCACTGTTTTATGACTGCAGTGTGCAGTGGAACCTTCCACTGTCTTCGCTCTTCTGTTCTCACTACATACTTCTCCTCTGTGATGCTTTCCTTCTGCTTCTGGAGGGTCCTTCAGTGAGGCTGTGGTGGGAACTCTCCCAATGCCTGTCTGTAATGTCTTCAGTCTTGAAAGGTACCTTCCCTGGGGATAGAATTCCTAGGGCATTAAAGATAGCATTCTGTTGTCTTCTGGTTTCCATTAACACTGCTGAGAAGTAGCTATACTCCTTTGAAAGCTTTGGTGGGTGTTTTTGTTTTTCCTGCTTTTAAATTTTTCTGTGATTTGGTGCTCTTTAGTTCCAGTGAAATGGCTGGTCATGAATGTAAGC